TGCATCACATATACATATATATCTGAGGGTACTTTCTTCTTTAATATCAAGCCTAATCTACTGGTACCAGGGGTGCCTAGGATTCTCTTACAATTTATTTTTTGTTTTTGTTTCTTGATGTTGTAGAATAAACAATGCATTTCTAGTTCAAACTAAGGTAATAATGCCAAATCTACACAATGGGAGTTTAAATTTTTAGCATCATTTAGGGCCTGTTTCTAAAGGGGATTACTTTGAGTTTTAACTTCTTCTATGGTATATTTACTGTTTTTTAAAGATGATTGTTTTAAGTTTTTACATTGACATAATTATGGATATTTTAAAAGGAGTTAATTTTAGGTTTTGACATTGTTTGAATGACATCTTTATCTGGTATTTTTAAAGAAATTATTTTGGATTTTAACATCTTTTATATGGTATTTGCTAATTTCTAAAAATGACTATTTTAAATTCCTACTGTTTTACATAGTATATTTTCTAGTTTCTAAAGGGAACTTAAAGTTTTTCTAGCCATTTGCCTTCAAGGTGCAAAGGGAGCTGACACTTTGTGATGACTAGACCTGTGAAGCAGATGAAAATTTGCTGTACTCCAGGGCCAAAACCTTACAAGAGACAAGCTACTACCAACACATAGTTACAATAAGGAGAGGTAAAAAGTAGTAGTCTACTTGAATGAGAGGCTTGAGACACCATCTCTACTGGTCTTAACTCCTTCCCTTTCTACATTGTGATTCTAAGCCTGTTTTTCTCTGAAATAGAGTTATTTCCCTCTCTGATACTAAGATGCTTTGTTTGCTTATGTTCCTGCCCCTTCATTCCCTGAGTTCTTTCTAGTTATAATGTCAGGGTAATATTAATTATATTGGTAAATTGTCACGTGCTGTTTGAGCTCACTGAGACGCTGACTCTGAAGATGGGATTGGCCTTCCCACTTCAGACTTAAGCCTATTATCTCAAAATGTGTTATCCAAGAGTTTTCCAGGTTCAAGCTGGCCCCTTGACCCTGTGACAAGGAGGAGAACAACAAAACAGCCTAAGAGTAAAGGCACTATGCAGTTGAGAACTGCTAAGGTGTAAATTAATTTCAACAGAGGGTATTACTGACTATAATAAAACTAGCTAATGGAATTATTTTCAGTACTATTTACATTTTATTTATTCTTAACCTAATCTGTTAATGTTTCCTTTTGTCCTTCCTATCTCCTCTGATTTATGTTCTTAGATTGACAAGGTTTTATTAACTTCCTTCAGTTATTTAGCTCTTAAAAAGGAAAAAGATGCTACCTCAAATCTATATGGAAACTTATCTCTTTCTTTAGGCCACTAATTGCCTGTACAAAATGACATCTAAGCTGGTTTGGTAAAATCCTCTGT